GTTTAAACACTCCTACTGATCAAAGAAAAAAACTCAACCTAAATGAAAAAACCGACAAAAGATTTGGACATTTTATAAAAGAGGAAATCCAAATTAATACATGTAAGGGTGCTCAATCTCTTTAGCCATCAGAGAAATGCAAATTCAGACTACACACTCTCCAGAATGACTAAAATGCACATCCAGAACGTACCAAGTGTTGGCGAGGGCATGGGCCGCTAGAACGCTCCTATTTTGCTGATAGGAGTGTAAATTGGAAAACATTTTGGGAATATCTATGGGAGTTAAATCTCTGCAGATATATGCACGTCTAACACTCAACAATCCCACACGTAGGTAAATTCCAACAGAAATGCAAAAAACACGTACTAGGAATGCTCACAACCGAACAAATCATAATAGTCAGAAACTGGAAACCACTCAAATGCCCACCACCAGCAGGATGGATAAATAAATCATGGTGTAGTCACACAAGGGGTATTATACACCATGAGAATTAGCCACCTACAGCTACACACAGCATGGGAGAATCTCACACAAACAATGGGAGCAAGAGAAGCGGTCACAAAAGAGCACACACAGTTCCACTTTTCCACCGTATGAATACAGGCAAAACAAACCCATGCTGTTAGAAATCAGGGCAATGGTCACCCCACAGGGTGTGTAGTGGCTGGAAAGGGGGACAAGGGGCTCTGGGAGGCTGCTAGTGCTCTTGTTCTTGATGTGGGTGCTGGTTACATGGGTGTGTCCAGTTTGTGAAGATCCACTGAGCTATGCAATCACAATATGTGCACTTTTCTGTATGTATATCATTCTCCAACAACAAGTTAAAAAAGGAAAGGAAAAAGAGACAAAGAATCCAACCTAAAAGAAAACATAAAGCAAGGAACAGAAGGAAGTCCATTCCAATTACTTCATGCAGTAGAACAAATTAATGAAAACATTAAGTTAGGCCTGAACCAACTGACTAGAAAAAAATTAAGTTGGTAAAATACAAGTTAAAAGAAGATATTTTTTCCTTTTTGTCTTTTTTCGTGTCCGGCAACGGACCGCAACCCTCAGTGTCACGCCCGTACCAGACCGGGACCGGCAACGGGATCGCAACCCTCGGTGTTGCGCCCGCACCTCGCTCAGCCAGTGAGTGGGAACCGGTCCGTATGTGGGATCCGAACCCTCGGCGGCAGCGCCACCGTGCTCCCAAGCGGCGCACTGTAGCAGTGCGCCACCGGGCCGGCCCTAAAAGAAGATATTTTTTAATGAAAGAAAAAAAATTTTTTTTCCTTTTTGTCTTTTTTCGTGACCAGTAACGGGATCTCAACCCTCGGTGTCGCGCCCGTACCGCGCTCAACCAGTGAGCGGACCGGTCTCTATATGGGATCCGAACCCTTGGCAGAAGTGCCGCCGCACTCCCAAGCGCCGCACTCTACCGAGTGCGCCACCAGGCCGGCCCTAATGAAAGAAAAATTAAAAAAAAATTTTTTAAATTAAAAAAAGGAAAATTGCGGGGCCGGCCCGGTGGCACACTGGATAAGTGCGCCGCTTGGGAAGCGCGGCGGCGCTCCCGCCCGAGGGTTCGGATCCCACATACAGACCGGTTCCCGCTCACTGGCTGAGCGAGGTGCGGGCGCAACACCGAGGGTCGCGATCCCGTTGCCGGTCCCGGTCTGGTCCGGGGGCAACACTGAGGGTTGCGATCCGTTGCCAGACATGGAAAAAGACAAAAGACAAACAAAAAAAAAAAAAAAAAGGAAAATTGCAAAACTAAGAAAAAATGGGAGACCAAAACAACATTATTACTGAACTAATAAGTAAATTAGAAAGTTTACTAGATTTACAATTACCAACAAATAGGAAAGGTTTAAGAAAATCCCAGAAATTCAGAAGAGAAAGATGAAAAGATTAAAGCAATTAGAGAAACATGAATGAATAGGGAAGACAGATAAAAGTGGC